AAGCAGTGGTATCAACGCAGAGTACTCAAATCAATTTTCTTTCCCATTCAAAAATTGCCTTACCGTAACTCTCGAATGTTATGTTGGAATTCGGCAGAAACTGCACTTGTTGCTTACGTGATAATCATATACCAAAAAATGGAAGTGCTACTTCGAAAAGGCAAAAGTTATGAGAAAAATTTGCAAAACCTATGTGCCAACCAGTGGCGTACCGAGGGGGGGGGGGGCGGGGGGGGGGGGGGAGGAATTTTCGCGAAATTTTTGAAAGTTACTTACATGCGTTATAAAAATGTGCAAATGAATTGTTTATTTTTGTAAACAATTAAAATAATTCTTAAAATTTTTTAAAAATTCAAATTAGCCTTATAAAAAAAATTTTTTCGGGGGCGTGGCTGACGCCACGCCCCCTTTTTCCAGATTTTAGGGGTTGGGGGGGCCGCAGAATTGTTGAGAAGCCCCCCTAAAATTTTTTCGGAGTGCGTGGCTAACGCCACGCACCTTCATTTGAAAATTTTTTTGCCGCGCCCCCCCCCCCCCCGAGCCGAAATCCTGGGTACGCCACTGGTGCCAACCTATACAATCATGTTCAGAAGCTGTGACTAAACATACTGTGATACAAGTTAATGAAGTTTAGAATTGTGACATGATATAGAACACAGCTTTAGTCTAATTTAAACCCCAAGTTTCTCATTTAGTTACTCCAATACCGTATTCGCTTAGTGGCGATATGTAAAGGATTTAGTCTGACATCTTTCAGCATTACAATATTAGAGCATTATATTATGTTATTGTGTATTAACTTTCAGAATATTTGCCTTCTAGTAATGACATGTTGAACTTACCACTAAGGTCGAGTAGAGCATATTTATATGCGAAATTTATACTGTCCTATCATTATTATATGAAGCCGTTCGCGTCCTCTGCCAAAGCTCTATATTAGCGCATACTTTCTGAGCCAGGGCTCGGCACGAGGTGGCTAGTTGAAAATGCAAAGAAACGAAGTACCCCTTAACTTTTGCGAATTTTTACGAAGTTCCCTTTAACCCTGGACCATAATTCCTAAAAATGTCCAAAAACGAAGTCGACTGAAAAAAATTCGTGCCGCAATTTTTTGTTTCTTTTCGGCCACAAAAACGAAACTCCCCTTGCTCTTTGTCCCAAAAACGATATCCAGCTTGCTTATGAGCCACCTGTGCCGAGCCCTGTTCTGAGCACAGGGAAAGCTACACTAGCCTATATTGACGAAGCGGAACTTTCATGTGTCTAAGCGAAGCACCATCTAGGACTGGGCATATTCTAGAAGCCATAAAATTTAACGCCATGTACATTATAAGGATTGACATGTACGTGGATGCCACGATCGATAGTACTAAGCGTCTTCACTATAGTATATTTTTGAGAATTTTTCTTTACGAGTTTTAGGGAAAAATGATTATTCTATTTTTTTATTTTGGCAATATCCCCTTTTTGTTTCACTTTTTATAGCTATTAGGTTGTCCGGAAATTAATGCCCGTTTTGAATTTCAGCCGCAATAAGTCATACACTTCTCATTTCTAAGTAGGTTGCAAAGTACAATTGAGCTCGTAACTCATGGGAAAAAAACGGATTGCGACAAATTTTTCCGTCGCGACATATTTTTCTTCGCAAAACCGTCGCAATGCTATAACTTTTTTAAAACTAGTTTTCAAAAGAAAAGGAGAACATCATTGGATTGCTGAGAAACTAGCGATTCAGAATAACTGTTAAAATTTCAAAATTGCTTTTATTTGATCTATCGCGACAAATACGTCGCGATAGATCAAATAAAAGCAATTTTGAAATTTTAACAGTTATTCTGAATCGCTAGTTTCTCAGCAATCCAATGATGTTCTCCTTTTCTTTTGAAAACTAGTTTTAAAAAAGTTATAGCATTGCGACGGTTTTGCGAAGAAAAATATGTCGCGACGGAAAAATTTGTCGCAATCCGTTTTTTTCCCATGAGTTACGAGCTCAATTGTACTTTGCAACCTACTTAGAAATGAGAAGTGTATGACTTATTGCGGCTGAAATTCAAAACGGGCATTAATTTCCGGACAACCTAATACTTTTTATATAGTCAACTTATTGATTTTATTGATTGCTGCATAATATCGATTTTGTCTATCATTTACCCAGTTTTCTTCAGGAAGTCTCGCATTGCTTCATCCGAGTGATATGGCTACGTCATCGACGACAAATGACCATCAGCGGCATCCATCAACGAGATGTAATCAGCAAACGCAAACACAGCAAGTTCGTTTTTCTCTATTTTTAGATTTTTAAAGCCCTGATGTCCATTTGAATCAAAGTGCAGGGACCTTATGACAGTGTAAATAAACTCGATTGAAAAGAGCTAAAAATACTAAAAGAAGGATGCGGGAGCTGACCTGGTGTGGAGGGCTGTTTGTACATTTTGAATTGAGAGAAAACAAAAACGGCAAAATTTTGGCTTTCCTGCTTGAGAAAAACTATGTTGGAATGTTTTAATGGCATACAAACAATGTAAAATCTTTGAAAGACATAAAGAAGCAAGAATTATTTTTCCAACAGTCCTTGTGAATATTTTTTTTTACTAAAATTGGGCTTTCGATCTTCTACATTATTTGAGTTTTGATTTGCCGCATTCTCATTCACTCAGAAATTCATATGCTGCTGCATTTTTGATTCAAAAATTCAATATTTGTAGCTCGCTGTAATCCATACGTTGCTTCACTTTTTCTCATCTATTTGACTTTCCAAGTCCATGGACTTTAGAATGGCTTACATTAAACAGCGTCTTTCTACCCTTATTTTCTCATAATTAATTCTTCTGACGAGTCAAGAATGTGAATTTTTTGCAAAAATGTGTGATATGCAAAATGCATTAATTACTCGTGTTAAAAGCTTTGATGGATTTTTCCAGGTAACAGTTTGTGCAAAATTCCGCTTTTTCTCAAAAAAGCTGCAAAGCTTGCTGGCATTTTCCCAGAAACAAAATTTTTGCATAAAACTCGTCCATCCGAGTTTTTTCATGAGAGCAAAAAACGGGTTTGATTGACATCTTAGGCTTGTGTAATACTCAACGTCCGTAGCGATGAAGTCTATAGCATGAGTAGTGGTGTATGTATAGTGTGGACCCCGGCAAGCTTCCCATAGGTACCTACGCGACGCACCCGCAACGCACACCTTCAGTGCGTCTCCGTCCTAGCTTCCGATGGAAATCCTCCTTTCTCTCTCTCTTTTTTTGCTTTTGGTGTACTATATTCTCTCTATTTCAGGTATAAACAATTCGCGATGACCGGTAACGAGATTTCACGTGCTCTTATAGTTCCAGGACCTTCAGTCTTGTTTAGTAGTCTTGTCTTTTCCCTTTTTTGTCCGAAAAATTGAAATTTGATTGGATTTTGAGATAATACTTCTTCAAAAGTTTCTTGTTTAAAATAAGAGTCTTTTCTGGTTTGATGTGCAAGGTATAGACAGTGTCTCAAGTCAAAATTGAGCCTCCCGAGAAGCCAATAGACATTTGTTTGCTTGAATGTCCACTTTTTTTGAGATCTTTGACCGCTTTAGTTTCTACGTCTACGAAGAGAAATGTTTTAAACATGCTGTTGTTCTTTAATTTCTTTACGTTTACTTATTACAACCTATCTATCAGTGCAACTTCGGAAGATCATCCATTGATTGAATTTGAGGTGCTCATGGAGGTTGCCTGCGTTTCATTCTTGCATACGTCTCTTTCGTAGCGAACCTAGAGGTTTCCACTTTACATTTTTGTCCTTTGTGAGCATAAATATGCTCTACTGCTCATGAGTGAGGCGAGAAGCATTAAGAAGGGCGCGCGCTGCGTGCGCGACGCGGAAGTACCTATGGGAACCTGGCCGGGGTCCACACTATATCTCTGTGAGCTACATAGAAGCTACTCTTTGTACTCTTTTTTGCTACCTTCTTAAGAAAATTGATTTTATATGAATCGGTTTAGATTTTTTTGGAAATTTTTCTATCGACGTGTTATAGCGTATACAAAATCTGGAATATCCTTTTTTGACTTCTTGATAATTTCGAAATCTTTATATTTTTCTCATTTATTTTCCTAGGAAACGGGAAAAGAGTTCCTCAAATGTCACTTCCTTGAATTCTAGCAAATTTGAATTACCTTAAAAAATCTTCTGCAAATGTCTGTCTAGAGATTTCTTTTCTCAAAATGAGAACTTTTGTCGAGTAATTTCCATTGCTTTGTCTTTCCTCATTTTCCCAAAAAGAGAAAAGGATTTTTTAGGATCTCTTGAAAATGTTATTTGAATCAGCCCAAAGGTTCTATATCGAATGAAGTGCTTTTAAATCTCGTCATTTCAATCATTTTGATCGTTTGTGATCATTTTTTTTGAAATTTCCAAATTTTTTACAGCTCCGTTTTCAAAGATCAACTTCATCAATGCTTTACTCTAGCCAGCTTGCTCCCTTTCGAGTAAACTCAATCAGCGGCATAGGAGTTAGCGTTTAAAGTGAATCTAAGGCCTCTCCCCGTTTCTCCCTTCCTTCCCCCACCCCCCCCCCCCCGCCCATTCACTAATAATGAGAAGTAAAGTTTTTCAATGTAATGTGTAAATAGCCAAAAACTCCGTTTCGTTCCTGCCCTTAGACGGAGTAAAAGTATTTACAGACCTTCCTCGGAACTTTAACCACTCAGTCAACTGCATTACAGCAATTCCAGAAAATTTATTGTTTAGTAGGATTAATTTAACGGTTTAGCGCAGTTTTATTATCTCTTTCCGTTATGATTCTACCTTAGAGTTTGAGAAAGTGGAGGAAGTGGGAGAGAGGTGGGTTGAAATTTGAGATAGGAAGTTCAAAAGATAGCTTTGGCCACTATAGTGGAATGCATAAGTGGTTGGAAGGAGAACTTCTGTACCAATCCAAGCGTGAATAGCTTTCGTTTCAACCGTCTCGAAAAGGGGAGGGGCTGTCAAGTAGGGGCGTGGTCTGCATCTCCGTGCTTTTCTCGAACTTCTTCGCTTGCATTTCACTAAAGATATCAATTCTGCCGTAGATCTGCGTCAAATACTTCACAGCTCACGTTACACTTGTAATTGAACAAGTGTTTCTGCAATTAGTGCAAAATCGTAAGATATCTCCTAGTGTAAAGTACGCAACAAACTTCTTTTGCACTTTTGAAGGAGCGTCTAGCTCGCTTTCCTCCCTCCACCCCCCCCCCCCCTCCCCGCAACATTTCTCTTTTCCGCCGAAAGGGGGTTCAAACTTTCAAAAACCTAAGCGCCATCGAGCGACCTTAGGAGATGTTTTTAGTCATGAAAAATTTTTTGGATAAAAAATTGACAAAATTTGCTTATTTAATATTTTCGCCGCTAGATTGCGTAATTGTTTCATACTCTCCCCCCCTCCTCCCCGCCATTGCCCCGAAAATTCAAATTTCCTGCAAAGTAGCCCACCAACGATAGTTGGTTTGTAATCTATAGCCATTTTTTGTGCTGACAAATTGAACAACACGTTGTTTGTGGCGCTCGTAAACGAAATGGGAAGGGCTGTCGGGGGCAATGGGCCTTCGACCACATGTCTCGTGGTCAAAAGCTCTCTCCGATTACATTACATGTGACCGACGGGGAGGACGGGGGGGGGGGGGGGGAGGGGGGAGGGCTACCGGGCATTTATTTCTTTTGCGCGCTGAACTGGTATGTATTTAGTCGTCTTAAATTTTGTCACACTTGTGCCCTGAGGTCCTGGCATAAATTGACGATTTTGACTTTTTGTAATTTACTTCCATATTTTTATGACATTATGGCCTTAATTTTTTCTCTATTTCTGACTTTTATGGTTCATTCTTTTCCTTACGGAGAATTATTCTTTTGACTGGCCATTTTCATGTAAGCGTTCTCCAAGAATCGTTGAAATTTTTTGTAAGAAAAATCAACAAAAACTCTTCTTGCAGCTTTATTGATCGGAAGGATTTTTTCCGAAAAAAAAAACAGAATTGAGGTTTTGTAATAAACATAAATAGTCAATATTTTCAATGTTCCCAAATATCCCGCAAATTGTAATCATGTTTTAAAAAAAGGTTAGTTCTAATTGGAAATGTTCTGTAATCAAAAAGCAAAAAAGTCATGCTTTTATAATTGAAATTTTTCACCCTATTTTTCCTTTTTTTCCGAATGTATAACTCCAAACTCGCTAAAGAATTTGCGATTTTTTCCATTTTCAAAGATTTTTTTATTCCAAAGATCTCTCAAGACTTGAATTGAATTTCTTTTTGAGGGATTTTTTGAAACTTTTCATGAAATTCAGTGTTTTGAGCCTTGCCGCTCCTTCCACACGAATAATTTTGCTCCGTAGAACGTCATTTTTGCCCTCTTCCCCCCCCCCCCTCCATGACCCAACGCGGCTTTGCATACACTTGTCTCATGTTAAAATGCAAAGACCATTCTCGTGTGTTTATGCGGCGCAAAACAGTTGTCGGAACTTCCGGTCGGCGGCACTTTTCTCTGCATTTTTTTTTAATTTCGCTAAAAAAAGCAAGAATGGATACGTAAATCAATTTGTTAGTGAACAAGTGCACTTGTGGGCTTTTTAGATCTCTTAGCACCATCAATCAATGACATCCTTTTTTATTGCAAGATTGCAAAGCTGAACAAATGTTTTTATCTTCGACGCAAGACACTAATTCTGCACTTTTATGAGGACGATATTCTTAAGAGGGCTTTTGTCATCCTTTTCTTGCTTTCCATTAGCCAAAAATTCCTCTATCTACCAATGCAGGAACATTATATAGCCTGAAATCTTGCCGTCTCGTTGCTTCTTCCGTCACATTTAGAAAGCCTTTACTTGAGATTCAAACTGTTCAGTGCGGGAACAAAGCAATGGAAGATTATCTATTACTTTAATATTTTTGTGTTCTTTTGATTTGATACATTCTATCTTTTTGATGCTATAATCGCTCGGAGCTTTTTTTTCTGACAATTTGCTAAGGGATTTGCTTAGGACCCGCACTGCGCCTGAAAATGTCGCAGTTTTTGAACTATTTTATAAGGTTCAAAATCGTGCCTTTTTTCTTACAGAGAGGGTATTGTTATCCTTGATTTAGCTGGATTGGCGGCTGGAAGGCGGAACTTTGTGACCTAATTAAGGCCGCTCGCGCCCGCGACGCGTTCTGCGTCTCAATCGCGCGCGTGCTCCCTGATCTTTCTCTAGCCTTGTCAGCTCATATTATATGTCGTAGTGGTTCAAACTATGTATTATCGAGTCACTGGCGAATTAATATCAAATGCTATACGCGCTACTTGACGACTTGTAAGATTGGAACCTGCTCCAATGTTTCCTTTGTTTTCTTGTCTTTTGATATTGGATACAGTTTATTACGCTAGTGAAGGTTATACTGAGGACTAGTAAAGGGGTCGTCGGTTGTCACGCATAGTGTGCAGTCTCACTTGCATTATTACCAATGACTCCAAAATACATATAAGAAGATAAGCTAAAGAATTAATTCGGAGCTTATATTCTTGAGGAAATGTCTAAAATTCTATAGATTTTTCCTTCATAAAAAGCTAAGCGCGTTGTGCCTTTGTCTCTGGAAAAGGAAATTCTAGCCTTTCTATGAATATTTGTGATAAAACTATGCCAATATTTACACTGCAATAATCATGTTTGAATCGCAAACCGTCTAGGAAATTTTCAGAATTCATTTCAAATTCATTCTCATGTTAACAGTGGCGGTCGCGGGATTTTCTTCCGGGAGGGGGGGGGGGGGGGAGGGAGGAGGGGAGGGCGCGGCAAAATTTTTTCAAATGACTCAATTTCTGTTCAAAAAATTTGGGGTGCTTCTCAAAATTTTTGCGAGCCCATAGCACTTAAAATCTAGAACAAGGAGGCGTAACTGCCGCAACGAACCCAAAATTTTTTTACGAGGCTTTATTGAATTTTTGAAAAATTTTGAAAATATTTTATTCCTTTACAAGAATGAACAAGTCATTTACAAGTTTTTACAACCCACGTGAGTAAATTTCAAAAATTTCCCTCCCCCCTCGGTCCGCCACTGCGTGTTATACCTATATTGAGTATCACCCTTGATACGGCATATATGGCATATATTTAGTCTGCATATGGTTCATTATTTTCATGATATAAATGGCTTGACTTACATATGGATAAAATGTTGAGATCATTGTCCGGTGCTACTAAAATCAAAAATTCACAATGTGTAGGAATGCGCGAATTTCTTCATTATGGAGCAGGTTTGCCGAAGGAGCGAAGTGAACGAGACGACCCATCCTTGATTGAGAAAATTGTCTTTGACATTTACTTTATATCAGCGATTTCGCATTGATTTATTCAAGAAACTTTGGTTCAAATTGCCTCCAAAATATTCCATTTTCTGGTACAAAGAATTTGAAGTGAATTCACTTATGCAAGTTAGAATAATGATCCATTTTCCAACCTAACGCTCCCTGATTTTTTATTTCAATACTTCATTTTCCAAAGTATTTCTGTAATGATCATCTGGACTTTGTATATTTTCATATTTGAAAGAAATATTAGTTGAAATTTGTATCTACTTTTGCCTTAGAGATGGAAAACATCTAAAAGTGTAAAAGTTGTAGTCCCCGTAAAAATCCGGCCGTTTTTAATTACCCTTTGATATAACGAGATTGGCGACTAGAAGGCGACCGCTCGCTCACGCGACGCAGTCTGCGTCTCTCCCGGCAAAGTGCTCCTGATCATTCTCTAGCCTTAATTAGGCTATGAAGCCCGCCTTCCAACCGTTAATCCAGTTGAATCAAAGGGTATACTCGAAAATACATAAGCTTTACAGACTTTTTGTCGCTACTGTCCCCCTTCCCTTCCCCATGAAAGCTTAAATTGCGGCTGATTTTTTAGTTATGATTTTGTTCATGTTTCTCTTTTGTACACTATTGAACTTTCCATTCATTGTTGATTTAGTGCTTCTCACTAAGAACCTCAATAGCAAGTTGAAAAGCCCCGCAGGCATTTTTTACGCTATTACGACGAGTTCATTGACGTCCAGAATCAGCGCAGCTGCCGTATTCACGACCTCCTAATGTCATTTTGTAATGAAAATCAAGACAAATAGGGGCACATTCTGTTGTTTGCGTCATTTTTACGAAAGCAGAATATTTGGAAAGAAACATGCGACGATTTTCTTGGAACATTTCGATGTCACAAGGGGCTGGAGGAAGTTTAGAGCAAAAATCTCTGACGTGCTGGTTCCTGGCTGATTTTCTTCGTCCTTTGAAGTTTTCTTGGCAGGATAGTCTAGTAGAAAACAACATTGTAGTGTGAAAGCATTGCTAGAATGCCATGGAAGTTTTTGTTATAGTTTTTCGCCGAGAACCACATAAATTTCACTACGATAGTGTCGCCCTTTCCAATGCCGTTGCGTATTTTGATAAAAAAAAGTCCGCACATTCTTTGCCGGTCCTGGCACTCGCTTCTGTACAGATAGTGATGTAACGTGTGCTTTAAGAGTATAGTGAACGGTCTTTCGAGATTGGGTTACGGTAGTGAATTACAGTAATCAGAGTTTACACATTGTTTTTATAAGCTCTATATTTTCCCCTATACTCAGCTCTTCCCCCCATTTATGGTATCAGTACTGATAACAGTAATCAGATTTTGGTATTGATGAAGCTCTTCTCTCTTTTTCATAATTTGACGATCCGCTTGTAGTTACAATGTTGTTACGGTACCAATTTCCACTACAGTAACCCAGTTTACAGCGCTCTTTTTCCAAAATTTTCTCCAGTTTTTCGTCAATTTCTTTACCCCCCCCCCCATTCTTTGTTCCGAATATTAAATGTAAAATTTTCAGTCTTTGTACGAATCCGATCTTGAGCTACGACTCCGTGAGGCTATTCGACAACGAGACGAACAGTGGCGAAAACACGAACGCGAACAAATCACATTCCTACAGAACGAGACGGCATCGATGTTGCGCGGTCTACACAAGGAAATCGAACGTCTCGGACATCAACTCAAAGGTAAAATTGTTTATTAGTAAAATTTACTCCTATTTTCGATATCTAGGGAAATGTATGGTATAAAATTTTCCGATTTTTTATATAGTAAAATGTACTCAAGAAGACTGGAGTTTATTTTATAACTGGCATTAGAGGTTTATGGGGCAAGAAAAACCGTACCATTTAACCGTATCTGTCAAATGTTTCTGGGTTTTTCGCTTTTTTTGTTTTCTTTTTTCCATTTGGACTCATATCTCCATCAACAAAAGTCGAGTGGAACAATTATCATGGTCAAGGAAATTTTGTAGTCATCGGTCTAAAATTTTAATAGAATGGTTTCCAGGAAAGCTGTAGCTAATGATTTAGTATGATTCCCCCGGTTTTAGGGATTCATTTAGGGGCTTTTGGAAAACTTTGTAAGGTTCTGAATCCTTTCTAATTGTTTTTGTCTTTGAAAATCTTATCCATATAATAGGGTTATTTTTTATCATTGTTGTCTTCACAAGTAAAATTTTTCTCGGTCTTCCTCCCCCTCCCCCTTTGCCCTTGTTTGGTTCGCCATCATTCATAATTCACTGCTTACACCAATTAAGAGGTTCAGACCCATCTAACAGTGCAATAATTTTTTCCAATTCCTTTTGGGAATCCCCGAATTTTTATTGAGCTTACAATTACAATAGGAAGATGTTGAGACAGCTGGTTAATGTTGATTCGAGTTAGTAGAAATTCAAAAAATATTCTACTTTTTTAAAAGTAAACATAGACCACTTTTCACAACTCTGGAATTATGTGCCCATTCCCCCCCCACCCTCCTTCATCAGCTTCCATCGAGGAAGAGTTACATCCATATAGTTCTATCAACTTCTTTTCAATTTTTCACGTTCCGATAGTTGATACAATTTCTTCGATCCAAGTTTTGGTTTGTGAGAAAAGACATGTTTATCTGTATTTTCAAAAAGCGCATTATCTCTCAGTTACAAAAGAATATTCTAGGCTCTCCTCCCTTTCTTCTTCGCCATTCGTACGCGCTACTGATCCATGTTTTTATGTTATGTTTTCGCCTAGGGCCAAAAGCTTATCTTACACGCGATGTGGACATTGTTTTGGTGTCAGCAGGCAGCTCATCACACCTCAAAGTCATTCATTTCGAATGCACGGAATTGATTTGCATATGTTTTGTAGATGCAAAGCGTCAACTGTACGTACCAGACGATTCACCGTGTGATCACTCGGAAATGGAGGCGAAAATCGAACAACAGGAACAACGAATCCGACAATTAGAACAGGTACGAAAATTTGAGGTATATTGTTTGACTTTTCAAATTGCAAAATTTGCACTGACATTTGAACTTACCGTTTTCTTCGGTATTTTTGGGAAGTCCTGCGTTTAAAAGGTCACGATTCTTCGGTGTTTTCGGAAAATTCAAAAGCCATAGATTTTTTGGTATTCTTACGAACTCTAGAGTTCATACAAGGTCACAATTTTTTGGTTTGAAAGTTCTAGAGTTACAGGGTGTTCACTTTACCATTTTTTTTTGGTCTGAATATTTTAGGGTTTACAGGATATTCACAAAGCCTCTCTCCTCCCCATCCTAGTTTTTACCCTTTGTAATTCATTTACTTGGTAGTGACAGAGAAACTGAAGAACTGAAGTGTCTAACGTTTTGCAGGCAAATTTTCCCTTAACTCCCGAATTTCCTACAACTTCTGCTTGATTACTCGATTTTTTGTTGAGCTACCATAAACCAAGGCCTTTCAATCAATATATCGATTTTTGAGCTTTCTAGTACAAGTGCTCTTTATCTGATTCTTGCTTATGTACTGCTTTTTTGTGAGTAAACACGCAACTGGTTCTCCTTCCGATCTCTGTTTGGGCGCTGCTTCATTTCTATAAATGAGCGCACGATCGGATGATAGCGTTCGTTCATGGGAAAATGGCGCCCGATCAAGATTGGGAGATTGATAGCTACCGCTCCTAACTCTATCCAAAAGTTTTTTGCTTGGCTTCTCTTGCCAATATTCTATTCCATCCTTCCACGTGAGCAGTGCGTTGGATCTTAGTTGTAAATACAGTTGACAATGCCTTGTAACCATCGTGCAAATTTTTATTCCATTCCGCATTTCACCATCTTGAAACCACTTAAGGATACAAGTACCATAACCACATTTCTTCTTTTAAACCTACTTCGCTCTCTTCATTCAACCTTTTACGCCGTTCCTCGCTGCTCGATCGTTTTTCATACCCTATCTTTCTTCTTCATGTGATTATTCATGCCTCTCATATAACCTTAACAAACCAGTTTGACTCATGGTTGGATTTCACGGTTCATTTGTTTGACGTGATTCATATGCAATTATATGATAGCTAATGCGATGAGATTTCGTGGACATTTCGTAACATAAAATTATTTTCTTTTTTCCGAGAAAGGCTATGTTTAGAGGAAAATCGTACGACCTTACCGACAAATGTTCAAAAATTTCTTACGATCTCTACGAAATTGTATTTTTGAAATCTAGCTGCTCAGGAGCCATGCTTCTGTTTACGCGCATTATAGGCCACCTTTACGGAAACATTTGAAAATTTATATCAGATGCACTTTTTTTCAAAACTGACTTTACCGTTTAGGGTTAGCCACTCTTACAAAAAAATTCAGAGATCAATAGTAGGCGTTTTTTCAAACCTTATTTTACCCCAAAGGACATTTTACACTCTTTTGTAATCTTTTCAAGACATAGGTAATGTAATAGAAGTGATCAGCACAGTTTTCTGCAGTTGATGGAACCCAATTATTGTATTTGAAATGGTGACTAAATATTTTTTGATTTTCACGGAAACCAGTTTTTTCTTGACGATGCAAAAACTCTGCTATTGGCAAATTTGTATTAACATTTCTAAGAAACAATTTTGCGAACAGCACATACATAACTTTTCTTAATATGTATATCATGATGACGGCAACCTAATCCGATTTTCTTTTCAATCTTAAAAATCCAATTTCAGCAAATCCGCGAAAAAGAACAACAAGCAACCGTTATCGAAAGCAAAGTGACAGAAACAGTGGAAAAACTCCAAGAACAAATTGATTTACAAGTAAGCTCCGTTTTTTAGACTTTTTAGTGATTGTTTGTCAATTTTTTGAAGCAAAACTGATTGAGTCATCTGTTTATCCACTAACCAATCAAAACTATGCTAGTCTTATTTTTTCATACAGAAGACCGTTTTGCATGAAATTTCGTGAAATGTTGTATAAATCAATTGCACTCCTTTTCTTTAGGCTGATCGTATCCGACAACTCAGCGCAGAATTAAACGAGCGCAATCAAACAGTGGCCCATCTGAGTAGTCAGGTTTGTTCTTCATTCCTTTCTTCAACAATCAAAGTTGAATATTTTTTTATTTTCGCTCAAAAGCAATAGAATCTGTGCAATTTTTTTCAATTTTTGGCTAAAGGGCTAATTACTTACCTTATTCTTGATCTTAAAAACTGCTCTTAAATTTATCTGTCGTAATTTTATCGTTTTCAGCTTCGAACCTACCGTCTCAGAGACGCTATGGCCACAGCTCAGCAACGTCGACGAGCATCATCATCGAATTGCTCAACAAGCCCTATAGTCTCGCCCTCATCCCCACATCGAATTTTCCCTCCAAAAGGGCTCGTTTCTGCCTCCGTTACTGTCTCATATCCGGGAAGTAAAAGCAACGCGTGGTGAGTATAAATAGTTTTACACGCTGTCGACAAATTTTGCTGGAACTTGCAGTGATCGCTCTGAAAGTATGGAACGGATCCTGAGACGAAAATCTGCATCAACTGTCAGCATGAACAAGCTGAATTGATACTGTATTGAAATTTTCGCACTAAATCGTGTACAGAAGCCGTCATACGAACCGAGTTGGCGCCAAACTTCAGTTTATCGTGCAAACTCCTCTATAGAGACGAACACACATCCGACTTTGTGCTTTCAAATGGCTAGGCACTAAGGGTATGTCAAAAATCCCGTGTTTCTTCGTTTTCTCTCGAATTTACGAGTAGTTGAAAAAATCGCTTATTAGGCTCATACCCATCATGTATGTCTATTTATGCACTGAATAACCTCGAAGCAGGTATTCATCTCAAGCATCGACTCTATTTTTTACCTCTTTCGTAGCACATGTCGTCGCCCATGTATCTTTTCGAGCTCCAGTTGAATCTAATCTTGCATCAACATACTATGAATCAATGGATGGTTCGTGTATTGTGATATGATGACACAATGTATGTGACATGCATATGAAAATGACTTGCCGGTGCTTTATTTTGATAGCTATTTTGTAAAATGTGTTACTCTTATCAGCAATATTGAAGCATTGATTGTTGTACATGCAATGCAAATGAATTTGTTGTTTATCTTTCCAGCACACAACTTCTTAGAAATGGATGAAATTCCATTCCTAAGAAGTCTATTGAGTAGATTTACACACCGTGAAGCTATCACCCAAACTGCAAAATTCAACTGTTAGGTTTTTCCGTGAGTCTTTTCATATCTGACTTTTCTTCGACAAATATTCTTTGATTCAACTGGCTTAGCTGGAAGGCGAGGCTCCGTGACCTAATTAAGGCTAGATACTGATTAGAGATTAGATTTGATTAGATCACCATCCTTCCACCATCGTGAGTGGTCGTTCTCTCAGCGTCAGGCTGCTAACCCAGAGGGAAGCAAGCGACAAGCCAGCTGGAGAAGTCAAAACTTCGCATTACTAAACCTCTTTCATGTTTCAACAAGAACTTTAAATGACAGCTATAGCATTCCCCAAAAGAGACAGGCAAATGAATGCCGTGTCAGAAGATTGCCACTTCAACAAGTTGAGAGGAGACGACTAAATTTGGTAAATCGACATAGTTATAGACGACGATCCAAAGCTCAAAACCGCTTCGACTGGCTACTATCAATGTAGGGTCCTTAGAGGCAGTGTCCAAGCAAAATGTCGATTTTGAGATTTTGTGCTTATCCGAGCCTATTCGCCATGCTGAATCCGAGAAACGGCAATGGAGAGCGCAAAAACGCCAAAAAAAGGCCCTAACGAAGGAGGGAAATCGCAGGTGGGCGGGGCTTTTCACACCGTGACGTCACTCTCCCAGGCTTTAGGAGCGATCTTCGCGGTTCCGATTTTATGTCATGCGCTTCCCATTTGGCTAATGGTGATGTTACAGTGACTAGCGGAAGCGAGAAGATCGAAAACTTCTGAAACTGGGACAGTGACGCCACTATGTGAACAGACCCGCCCACCTGCAATTTCCCTCCTCCGTTAAAACCATTTTTCGCCGTTTTCGCGCACTCCAGTATCGATTGTTAGATTCAGCATAGCGAATAGGCCCAGGTAAGCACAAAATCTCGAAATCGACTTTTTGCTTGGACACTGCCTTTAACGGCACGACAGCGGGAACTAGCGGATCTTCTTTTTAAACGACGTAAAGTAGACATTGCCTGCCTTCAGGAGAGCAAGTGGAAAGGTGAAAAGTCGCGCGATATAGATGGATACAAACTCCTACATAAAGGAACAAGTAACGGAAGCAACGGAGTCGGAATAGTTGTTTGTGAAAGGTTGAGAAACAGAATTACTGGTGTGGAAAGAATGAATGACCGACTCATGAGCATCAGGATAGAAAATGGAAAGAGAAGTCTGCGAATTATAGGTACGATAGAGGGAGCCGGGCTCTCCCCAGGTGAAGGGGGTCTCGGCTGCTTTCGACCTTCCAGGGTGAAGGGAATTTGTGAGCCTAGGGGAGGGGGGGGGGATAGGAAAAGGTAAAAAAAAGCGCGGTATGAAGAGCTCTAATTTGTACCTTATTTAAACCATGTTTGCGATGGGGCAGAATAAGGAGGACGCGTTACAAAATTAACTGAACAAACTTTGTCGCGTGTTAGCAGTATGTTGTGCCAATGTATCTGTGACGAAAAAGATTCTGCAAACGTTTTGAAAGCACCTCATTGGGAAGAGTCGGAAAGGGAAAGGTACGTCAATGACAGTTCGATAAACTACAAAAACAGATTCAATAAACGTAGGAACTATCTATGTACACATTCTATATAGATAAGGGTTCCTTCATACTACGCCGCGTACGCCACGTACGCCACGTACGCCGCTCACGCAGCGTACGCCGCTGTAGCGCAATGGTATTATGCTCACGGCAGCAAAGCTCCACTTTTTTTAAAACGTATCTCTATATTTGCCGCACAAATTTGCTGCTTGCTGCTATTTGCTGCTTGCTCTCTATATTCGTGTCTCTCAATAGTGTTCCTTCACATTATGCATTTCTTCTTCTCTTTTGCCCTGTTTATCCTGACTATCCTTTGTCTACATCAATGATTGATGGAATGATTAGATTGTTGTGCTCCCTCTACTTTTGAGTTTCATATTTTGTATCGTAACTGACTGCACATTGCGTCATCTGGTTGTATATTGGTAGTATATTGTTGTATGGTTGTACGTTGTATCTGGTTGTATATTTGCGCTGTTAACATCTTACAAACACATCACTGGATAAAAAGAATTTCTCTTCTTCATATTTCCACATTTCCATTGCGCTGCAGCGGCGTATGTGGTGTGCGCGGCGTACGCGGCGTAGTATGAAGGAACCCTAACGTAAAGAAAAGATTGCCCACTTCGTTTTTGGATAGGGTGTAGGATAAGAAAGGAGATCTTGCTTGGGAAAGTCACTTATATCGCATCGAGAGACACACTAAGATGAAATAAGAATCCAATGGTAAATCTACTCGGATATACGAGTGGCGCCCAAATTCGTGTTGAGGCGGGTTGCGAAATTTCTGATTATAAAGTTAAAAACCGTGTTGCATCGAGGAGGTTTACCAGGTTATCCTTATAAGTAGGGAAGTCCGCAGTCCGCCTCCACACAAATCTAGGAACCGATGATACTCGTTCGCAATACAAATATACCTTTTCTCTCTGGATCGAGTTATCTGACCCACTCTACATATGCTCCTCTTTTCAGGGTTGATTTAGGACTTCTTCTTCCAAAACCATTTTTTTGTCTGATATTAACTACAGAAAAAAATGGATAATAAAGCCGTGAAGCTCGAAAAGATTTGCATGGATTTTAAGGAGATTCATTGCAAGTTCTAGCTCCAACAGACAAAAAGCAAGGTTATAATGGAGAGAACGCAGGGAATCTACATACTTTAATGCGCGAGTCAAATGTTGATTTCCACATATTAGTAAACCAAATAAACTAACGAAAACAAACAAAATACACTTGTAGCGGTTGAAATCTCAATCCGTGCAGAATGTTAGCTTGCTACATCGCTGCTTGACGGTTCGATCGAAGGGTTGAGCCAGACCTCGCGGCGTACGCTGCGTTCGCTCCTATGATGAAATATACCGAGCTTACGCTGCGTACGTCACGTACGCCCGTACGCGGCGCACTCTGGCTCAACCCGAAGAGCTTATGTAGCTGCTGCGTTTCCTCAGCACCCATCCCGTCCTTGCCGTCATTGCCTTCGATTACAAGTAAACTGTTTGCCAATCGAAGTCAAGTTACTTGATACTATCCAGTAGCATTCGCTTGTTTGAAGAACAGAATCGAGGCTTCAAGGAGGCGAAGGCGGCTGGCAGGGTGGGTCCTGCCACGAGCCGCTTGCGCCGCTCCGCGGATGCAACGGCCCTCTCTGTCGTTAACAGTCCTCGTTTTTACCAAGGTCAGGTTTTGCACTTTTTTGGTTTTTGTACTAATCCTCTAAAGAAGTCCAAGTAACGAATAAGTAGAGTAAACTTTATAGGAACAATTTTTCTCTATAGTTTACTTTGTTTGATGCTTCAGATTCCACATATGGTTAACTTAAACCTCGTAGAACATCATGCGGTCCTGGTGTTATTCAATGCAAAATTTTCTTTTTTTTCAAATGGATGGTTTTGGTTTAAGACCCGTAAACTCTTGGGGATATAATCAACAAAATTCATGTTTTTGAAGGCATCCCAAGCCGTCCCGGAAATTAAAGATTTGATATTCCGAACCTGGGACGCTCACTTGTTTTGTAAAATTAATCATAGTTGAATCATAGTTTGCTTTTAAAAGTATTAAAAATTGAAATTCATTGGTGTTTGACGGCTATGCATATAACATAAGTCTGCTACAACTCAATGGAATTCTGTCTAAACTTTATGGCGATCTATGAGGAAGAGAACATATCGTCAGCCAGTGAAGTTGATCTGCCAATCTTGGTGGAGCTCAGCAAACAACGATAAAGAAAACAAAATTGTTCTATATCCTATAGGGTTTGCTTTATTCTTCTGTTACTTGGACTTCTGTGTGGGCTCAGTATAAAAAATTTGAAAAATCGCGAAACTTGACCTTGTTGAAAACCATGAGTCGTGGTTTGTAATTTTGAATAGAAAAATAAGATGCGAAATAATGCGCGAAATTCTAAATGTTCTTTATAAAAATTTCGTGTGGACGAATTAGGCTGAGATTTTGGCAAACGTATTTCTGATAAGGTGAAGAATATAGGCTACTTTCTATAGGGATTTACTGGACCGTACTCTTAACTTGTCGATTTGTTTATATTCTTCGAGGGAGAGAATGGTTATACTCAAACCAAGCACTTCCCATAGTCATGTAAGCAGGGGAGGTGAGGCTATTTCAATTCTGAAGTCAGCAGGATGCAGAGGTTTGAAATCAGTCACTGCAATTCACGCAACATCGTCACAAAGCGCTACCATTTTGTCACAAAGCGCTTTTGCCTTTGACACAAAGATGATTGGAAAAGAGTAAATACATTTGGATTGTTAGCATACTAAATTGGAGTCACTTAGCCTTTGTACAAATTCATAAGCTATTATTTGGCGGTATCGTTTACGCAGCTTATATTTGACGGTATGGACGATACCGTCAGATAGTAGCATAAATTCCTACAAGGGCTGCTGCAAATAAAAAAAGTGAGTCAAAATTGAGCGCTCTATGTAGCGTCCGTGATATGCAGGTTTTTGAAAAGAGCCCCTTTGATTTCTAATTAATTCATGGATGAGCATGCAAAGTTGTGCGATGTGATTCTCGGGCAAAATAAATCCAGTGCCACCTCGTCAGTAGAAAAGATTTCCAGTCTCAATACTGTCTTTCTCCCCAGCTAGGATTTTTATTCTGCTTCTTCAGTGTGCGGAAACATAATTATGGACCATTTATTAATTATCTGCTGGATATACTTGTGATATCTGCGTTTGTCTGGAGGCGTTGTCAACGAATCTATACGTGCATGTTGGAATATGCGGCACGCTTCTTGCATTGATAAACAACTCAATTTCGTTTTTGAGTTCCTGAAACATTTCTGTATTATGATTGGATTAACGTATAGCCTCCAGTAGCAACACACCTGTAAATGCATATCGGTTTCAAGAAAACGCTCTTTCACTAACGACAGCATATTTGAATTTTTAATAAGTGTAGCATGTTCGGGATAAAATGGTAAAAGACTACGTAGTGCATGCATAGTTCGTTCAGTCAGCCGAAAATCGGATGTCGCAAGAAGCGTCGGAAATAGGAAGAAAACTCCTGCAACTTGTCAATCACTCTAAATTGTGCTTAACAGCAAATTGCATAAAAAATTAAAATTTTGCTTGAGTTATGGAGGGAATGACTGATTGATTGCAAGTAATTTGTTTTACACGTAAATCATGACTTATAACAAGCCGCTTGATTTGAAGCCGTGCGGAGTTTGCAGGTTACGAAATTACAGTAAGATCTGTTTGCTATGCTTAGAGCGTGTGATATCTGATAGCGAAGGTGGTTCAATTTCAACTAGGGATCACTCGCTACACGCAACTTTGGAATGATGTGAAAATAAAGCTATTTACGCTCGATAATCAAGCTTGTCAAGCGTAAGTTTACTCTAACACTTTCCGTGATGAACAGTGCGAGCCTCTGCGAAGCGATTGGAAGCGCTGGTACCTAATAATTTCTTAATCTATGAAAATTCATAGCTGGGTAAAAATACTTCACGGAGAATTATGAGCTCGCTGAAAATTCTAAAAGCGTCCCATCCCAATTATTGAGAAGAATTCTTGTACTTGCACTTTCTTCCTCCATCCCGAAGAAAAGAATCCGGGAATTTCGTTGGTTGAATACAGTGACCATTGTCAAAAATAGAGCAGAAAATGTAGTTTAGAGTTTTGAAAATACAATGCTGGAGCTTAAGATAAACTCTACGGGTCTTTGAAATGTGTATCCCGAGGTCACAGCAAAAGCCCTTCAACGCATCCGCAACCATGCTGGAATTTTGAAATGGCTTGCTTAGTATCGTGTATCGAGAATACCTTTAACAATTTCTTCGGCTTTTCTCATTCCCTAGGTACTTTTATTGCAACAAATCGACTAAATTCGAAGCATTGGATTCCGTGAGCAATTTTGAACTACCATGCAGATGGGAGGGGGGAGGCGACGTTAAACAAGACTTGGTCCGTAAATTGTTAGTATTAGGTTGTCCAGAGAATATTGTCGCATTGCGTCCTACCGTAGCAGAATTAACAAAAAACAATGTGTTCGAGTTGTGTTATGTGTTTGCATAAGAGAGCACTTAGACGGCAAAGATAGATCACGAACCTCCACCCCACTAGGCACTCACAGGGCGCTAAAACACGTGGAGACAAATTTCGAAGTCACAGTAAAAATTTTAGCGCATGAATCACAGACATCGGCTCGCAAATGTTTAGAGGCATTTTGGATTCACGCCAAAAGCCCTAAAATGAATCGTAAGGAAGAATGCCTAGCCATCACACGTGAGCTCGCTCCCTACTTGGGTCAGATCTTCTGACCCGGCGGAGACGTTATAAATAGCCGTGGCATATGCACTCAGTCATTCAACGCTCGCTTTGGCATCACAACTCTATCGGCGTGTTCAAAAGGTGAGTGCTTGGTTAGGCAGCTAGTTACTAATCTACCGAAGCCTTAGAGTTTCGTTTGCATGGCTGCAGAGACGTTTGATCGAACAGCTTGCAAGTCGTACTGTCCATTCCAGGCTCTGAAGAAGGCGACTTGCCGAAACGTCAGCCAATAAAGTGTTAACAATCTCGGGTCAAGGCTCAGAAACACAACTAAACTAACAAAAAACAGTGAATAGAAATTATTTAATAGAGCAAAGTAAGCTCTACACGATGGCACACGAATCATTGCGGAAAAACACCTGGACTTTGAATTTAATATACAAACAGATTTTAAACACCCTAAAAATCGTATCTCCGCTATAATTATCTTTGATCTCCATTTTGCGAGCACTTGTACTTTTTACACAAGACATTCAAGTGTACATTCTGTGGAATCTTCTCACGGCTAGAACGAGAAGTAAAAACAGATCAAAAGTGCGAATGTGTCACGTTTTCGGTTTTTTTCTGTCAAAAGTTGATTTTTCTCGTATGCCAGTCTTTGTAAAAAGCTAAAATCTATGTATGTACTTTCACAGGTCTATACGAAAGAATCACTTATCTATATTTTCTGTGGCGTAAATTCTGTCGAGATCGGGGTTTTCACCGTTTTTCATGGAAATTGTGGGAGAAACAAATTTTTCTTTGCAAAAACTGGTCAGCCACATAGAAAGTCTGCCGTAGCTCGACCAGCGAGACCACAGCTTCCATGTGCTGGGTCTTCCCTATATTTTCTATGGCGTAAATTCTGTCGAGATCGGAGGTTTTCACCGTTTTTCATGGAAATTGTGGGGAGAAACAAAATTTTTAATACAAAAACTGATCAGCCACATACAGAGTCTGCCCTAGCTCTACCAGCGAGACCACAGCTTCCATGTGCTGGGTCTTCCCTGAGAGAAGATTGCTTGGATTGCTTTGGCAAGAATAAGCCAATTTTCTTTTTTTTATTCTCTAGTCATGGGGTAACAACGAAACTGTGCATATGAATATCTGTTGAAAAGAGTTTGTGGGAGGTAGTTGGAAGTTCTCAGAATCTTTCTGGACGGAAATGAAATAAATTTTTTCAATTTTTAAACCTTAAGTACCTTCTGAAATTTGACTACAGAGTTTGCACAAGTCAAACCTAGCGCAAATGTTAAAGATTCATTCGATTGGTACCCCATTTACTTTCTTTCCTCCTCACGCTGCCACGATATTGCATGATAAAACACGATGCGACATCATTTCCCGGACCCAGGACTCAGCACAGCTGGCACCGGGTCAAGCTGGATATCGTTTTTAGGGCGGAAAGCAAAGGGGATATCGTTTATACAGGGGCCGAGGCAGAGAACTGCCGCAAAAATGCCGCCGGCATGCCACCGGCATGCCATTGGCAAGCTGTCCATCAACAAACAAAGGCGTTGTTTTCAGCCACGCAATAGTATGACACCAAATGGTGTGTGCATGCGCGTTGGTGGACTGGAACTACAGGCCAAAAATTTATGAAAACTTATGTGAATGAAAGCTGTGCCTAACTTTTTTCTGAACTAGCTGGCACCGTGCCAGCTGGGTGCCAGCTGAGCTGGCACCGACACTTTGCTCACATAAGTTTTCATACTTTTTTACATAAAATGTATCTACACTGTAAAAGATTGCATACGGAGAAGAAACAGTTTCATAATGTTCTCTTTTCAGCGTTTTATAGCAAATTGAAAACCACTCGGCCCACTCCGCAGTCGAAAAATCGGCTTTTTCTGCTTCTCAAGATGTGATTCGACCACTTGAAAAGCTCAGAAAGCTGTGAAAAGTTCTTTAATGAAATCAGATATGCATGAAAACACTACTACATTTTTTACATAATATAAAAATGATGACGGGTTTTCAAAACAGGTCAAAAGGGAGTTCGTACGAAATTTTCAATATCAGACGGGACTTCGTTTTGAAATTACCCTGGTGCCAACTCGTGCCGAGCCCTGCCCGGACCTCCTAATAATTTGCTTCCACCGAAATTCACCATCTCTTTCACAAATGTACTAAAACGTCTACAAAATTGAAATAGCCGTAAACGTGCGCTTGCACTCTGGATTTTAGCTTACTTATTGCTAGTAACATACCACAAGCAACCATAAACCGAATTTTTTCTTCGTTAGCCCCGGTTAGTAAGTTAACAATTGTCCACATGCATTCCTGAATTGATGTGGTGACAGAATTCAGATCACTAACTCAGACAATTGCATCGGGAAGTTCGCGGGTGCTTGTTCGACCACCATCATCCATGCCGCGAGCTGCCCGGTATAAACCGATATTGGACCCGATAAGTGACCGCGGCGCATCCTGTAAGCGCCCGATGTTGACCCGATTAGCATGCTTGTGAGGCCTAGAAAGAGTGAAAGAATTTTGGCCTGTCTTTCATGACAACGACTGAGTACAAATTGAGCAACTTATTAGCTCATCTGTCGACATCATCTACTGTCGTCGGTCGATAACACTCAACTGATTGCTGAAGTTTGTTTCGTGAGCATACAAACTCAACCGTCAACAGCCCAAGCCGAGAAGCGACTACCTGCCCCACGTACACTTAGGATAGCCCCATCGCTGCGGCGTACCTCACCGGGTTGCGCCTTAAGCTACAGCGTGTAAGAAGTGCGGTCTTTGATAAGGTCCGCGGCACGCCGAGTGAGGTGATTGGGCCGCGACTCTCCCGATAAGCTCTTTCCAATTTTAACTTTGGCCGCGGCGTTCCCGGTAAAATATACTTGGGCCGCGGCGTTCCCGGTAAAATATACATGGGCCGCGGCGTGCGCGGCTGAAATTTTAAGGGCCGCGGAGCGCCACGCAGCACGCTTTGAGGCCGCGAATTTTCCGATGCAGTTGTCTGAGAATCCGAAAACTTCGGCGAAACCTTTTTGAGTTTTCTCTCAGCTGTTCTGACACCCTCCAACAACATCTCAAAAATGTTCCAATCAAAAAATAGCAGCTGAAAAGACGCCATATATCACTATTCAAAAGAGTAAACTTACATCCATGTGTTCCTGATTGCTTGCCGCTATATTAGAACACATCCAAGCAGCTTCTCTTCGCACATCAGGCACAGATTGATACGACATCGAACGCGACTATGATGAGAGTTCCTTTGTGTTTGATTGTTGTCCTTGACTCACCAAAACGTCATAAAAACGCGGATGATTTACTACTGCTCCTGTTTGCACATCGTTTCCAGTAATTATGTTTCCAAGTATGCGGAGAGCGCCATGATGAAGTTCGATGAAATCCTGAATTTTTTTTTCAAGCTCAATATAGCCAAAAACGCGAAGGTGGAGATTTGAAGTGCCAAATGATTCTGTGTGACCAATAAGTTGTGATTAATGCGTCAACTATAACTCTTCGTAAACAAGTTTTCCATCAACCAGGTATTGTTCTCACGGGCTCTACATAGGCATAAAATTCTACCGAGTCAAGGATTTCGAATGTTAAATCGATCAAGCCTTCTTCGTTGAGTACGACGTCGATCTGTAAGCAGATCACGAAGTGCTCATCAATTTTAATGTCGCTCGCGTATTCTTAGCGTGTTTATGTGAAGTGATGATATACCTGGGTCCCTTGGTGCATATCGTCGGCTATCGACGCTAATGTCCAAAGACAGTCCTTAGCCAATTCCGTCCACACTGCGTACTTTTTCAAGAGGTTGAACAGAGACTTTACTAACATTTGTACTGTCTGAACGTCAAGTCTATATTAAAAACTTCCTTAAATGCATAGTGCCTATTTTTCACATACCGTCACGGGTATGCTGCCGTTCCGAACTCCACCGCGTAGTAGATTCATGACGCACCACACAACATTTTTGAGGTCGCCGTGTTCAGTATGAACATTTTGGGAGAGTAGCCTGGCAAGAACCTGGAATTGGGTTGCTTAAGTTTAGTGTCAAGATGTTGATAGACAAGTGTACCGTGATGACTCCAGTGTCACGACATCTTTCCTTACACCTAGCGCAATCGGCAGCGATATTACCCAAAGCCCAAATGCATTGGATCCGGAATTCACCTGTACCAGAAATGACGCCACTCAAAAGAGCATCGACACCTCCCTAAGAATGCTTAAAATTTTTTTCCATCTCTTTCTTTTTCAGTGTCGCATACACTGTCAACAATTAGGTGATTCACTTTATCTGACATACAAGCCATATTTGTTATTGCCCATGCCGCATTTACACGGGTCTCCGCTGCATGGTTTTCGTTACAAATGATGCGGAGTAGAAGCTCAACCTAAAGTGAAACAGGCGTCAAAAAAAGCACATTGACCTTGATTTAGCAACTCGGCATTTGAACAATTTCAACTTTCAAGAAATGGTGAGTGTTTCATTTGACCGTGCATTTGCTACATGTCGCCAACAAATATCAACAATTTACAGATTATTTAGAAGGAGAAAATTTTTAGCCAAGCATCGTTTGAAAATTCGAAGACATCAAATGAACGGATATAGAAGTATTTGTTAGTGCAGGTATCGAATATTGTATAGTGTTGTTCTGCCAACCAGGTTTTGTGGTGGGTCTTTATTGTTGACCTTACGTTTCGATAAATTCGTCTTCTTCGGAGGTCTGGAAGGGGATTGCGGTTATATCATATTATCTGTTAGTCTATACAACCAAAGGCCTCATCAGCCTTCCGTCGTTTAAACCTTGTCGGAGCAAACGTGCCGAGAAACTCCAAAATGGAGTCACCAACCTTAGTCCACCACTCAGTATTCCGCACGAATGTGAAGGACATCCCTGAGGTTGCTCAGCGAGTCTTGACCTATATATACTGTGCTGTTTAAGGCCACTAGTGATTTCCTCGTCTTTTGTTAGCCAGCTGTTCTTTTATTCTAACACTTAGACTTCTTCCCGACTCTCCTATATACGTCGCGCCACAGTCCAGGCATTCCAAATGATAAACAGTCCCTTTCCTCGCGCAATCACCTAGTTTCCCGTAAGAACAGACGATGGATATACAATCTACGTCATACAATCTATTCTTAATTAATTCCTGATGTTACTACTAGGAATGTTGACCAGCATTACCTTATTATCCAAATGTGCTCGTACCAGCATTGGTTTACTGCCTTACTGAAACTATCGGAGACAAATGGCATACATAGAGGAACCTTGTTGTCATTGTTATTGCTTCGCATAGGATTACGACTTGCGAGCCGTCTGGATCTTCGCTGACGAGACTGCGCAGTAGTGTAGCCATTATTCGAGCAATTTTGGATGCCAGTTATCGCGACTCGTCTTTCTGTTTCGCCCGTACAGACTTCTACAGCAGTCTTATACCTATGTGAATGATGGAAAGTGTTAAAGCGGTGCGCAGATGTAGCGTGGACAAGTATATTTTTAGAGCTTTCTTTCGGTACCATTTGATTCGAACAGCACCGTCAGACAAGTTTATCTCGGTGTTCAAAAAGGAAAGCCCCATTGTGCGGGGTCTTTCGTGTAAGTTAATGTATTGTGACTGCTGATTTAGAATTCGAAAAGACTCATCCATCTCGGATTGTGTCGAGGTGATGATACAGCAGTCATCGATGCACGGGCAGTACAATGGCAACCTACTGTTTGCAATTGTGACGAGTTTGTGCTGTTTCGACATCTCTGTGAGGAGTTATGATTTTCGCGAAAATTGACAAATTAATTGATTTTGGCGTATTCCATAGTAAACTTAATATTCATAACTCTCACAGAGACGTCCAAACAGCACAAACTCGTCACAGTTGCAAAGAGTAAACCAAAAAACATATGTACTGACGATTTCAAATTTTTCTGCAGCATTCCAGATTTTTGGTGACCTAAATCAAAATGGTCAAAGTTCTCTATATTCATCTATATATAGTCATGTTCTTAGTTCTCTATATTCATCTCTGCACTCAGTGTGAAACAGAAGCTCCACAAAATAGCGATTGAAAGCGGAAGACCAAATCTTTCTAATAAAATTACAAGCAAGCAAATCCGCTGAAATCTCGCGAAGTTACAAATTTCTGAAAATGAAACGACAGAACATTCGGTTCAACCTTATATAAACTGGGCAGCGCCAACTACAACCATATTTAAGTTAATAGTGCAGCTTTTGTTTTTGTGGGAGCTATGCTACTTCATCATGAAGTGCATATTTGTTTCCAATATGAATGTATATACTTGTTGCTCAAGCTCCGAAGCAAAGGGCACTTTGCGCTGCAGCCTCAACTTTAGCATAAATCTTTCTTCTCCTTTTGTCCCAGACAAAGTTCGAAGCAGCCGCTACACATTTACGACTTGAGGGTAGGTAAAAATGTCGGAAGCCTGTTAATGAAAGTAGGATCTATTGCAATCCTAGATAAATCCAAAACTCAGTTCTAGGCTTGTCACCTTCAGACCATCCAGGGTGATGGGGAGAGCCACTGGGCCGCTTCTATCTTCTGGAGCGATTCTCTCGCTTTGAAATTCATCCTTCGCAGCGGGACTTTGGCGATTACTTGTTAGGGGCTCCGCTATTCACCTGTATCACCTGTATCCCCGTTGATCGTGCTTGACACGAACGGGACCAGTACGCCTTCATTCTTCCCTGTCGCGAGCGATTGTTGACCAGTGTCTTTTTATCACACCAGGAACACGAGGAACGCTCTGAAGAGCCTTACTGAAGTGCTTCATGAGCATGTCCGACCATCGAGTCGGCGATCTTTCTGTACCTGTTTGTCGTTCAGCGTTGTCCAATCCGTCACAGCTCTGTTCCACCGATTGTCTCGCTTTGAATTTCATCCTTCGCAGCGGGACTTTGGCGATTACTGATTGTCTATCTGATTGTTTTCTGTTTGGAGTATGGTGATAGCTAGAACATTCGGTGATAGCTTGAAGGGGGCATCAGAAAACCATTCGTTTTTCATGAACATCGTCTTCGTCTGATTTACCTTAAACCGAATTTTCCGAGCACGTTGTTAAACTGGGCATTCGCTCCGCTTGCATGCTGTTCAATGTAATCACGATTATATCCCCAAGAAGCAAAGGTGATGAAGCTGGCGGCCGTCAACTTTTACTCCGATTTTGTCCGATTCTAGTCCTGTTCAGAGGTTTGTAAATCGTAGGCAATAAGCAGATAAAGCAATAGTTTTTATTTCCGGGTCCCCTTCCTTATATGTATAGCAACACGATCTGCTAATTTTCCATCGACTTGGAACACTGCCCTCTTTCAGGTACCGCGCGGAGAGCCTTGTCAGAGTTCCAATAAGCTAACTGGCAGCTGGTAAAATCTGTTAGGAAATTGTTCACATTCTCCGGTATATCCTGTCTTAGCCGGATCCCGGGCGGCTTTTCATTAACGAGGTAGCATTTCGAACCTCCGAGGGAAAACTGATGGTAAACATATTCGTCCTCCTTAAGTTGACATGGTGGCAAGTGGACGTAACTTCGAAGAGATCCGAGTAAAAATCCGGGATGACTTTCTCTATCGACCTTCAAATAGAGTTTGTGGTTCATCAGGGGTGAGGTCATTTTGGTCTTGAAATTGATGATGCTTTGCGTATAATTCTTCCAACCTCAGCGGCGTCAATTTACTTGTGCTGTTCTTTCCCTAGATCTTCTTTCAATGCTCTGCATTGTTTCGCAAGGTTAGAAGAAGTTGATGGATGCTTGCGACTTGTGTTCGTTTACGTGTTGTATCAGCTCTAGAATTTCCGTTGGCAGACGTTCTCATTTTGTTAGACTTTCAGCTTCCTTAACCAATCGTGGAGATACTCATATAAACCGTTCGTATGCTGTAAATGTTGTCGATCACGGTATCTCGCCAAGACCGGATATCGATAAAAAACAGATCCCAGTTGATGGCGGTCATGAGAGGTGTGTTCTGAACTGAATGGCTTTCTCTCCAATCCAAAAGCAGAACTTGGCAGTTAGGAGGCGATGGCCTGATCCCATATAGAAATTCGGAACAAGGAGTACGTCCGTCAGGCTAAACTTCTTGTTGACGATGTGTGTCAATCTCGTTATTCTCCACCAAGTGACTCCCACATCCAGGGTCGAGAAAAGCGTTTTGAGTGTCGTCAAGATAACCTCGGATAGTTTCTCCCTCTTTACATTCCACTGTAGTCCTTGGACCAGATTAAGAGTTTCATAGGGGACCTGTTTGCTTCGATCTTCGGATTGAAGTCAGCTACGGCGACCTAGTAGAAGATGTGCTCATCTCTGCAGGAACTCTCCGAGTTCATGTAGAAGGCACCTCCTCCTTTTTTAACTTGATGTTTGAGTATACGCTACGAAGATTGTGAAGGCTGGGATCAATCCCTGTCTCTTGACGTTCGTAGCAGATTCCTTTGATCGCGCCTATTCATGACGTGCGAACGGATGTTTGATTTGGACTTTTATGGTGTCCCACTTGATAAACATGTATATTTGATACAACTAAACTCATATAATCACTCTCTCTGCTAAACGGTCAAAACCACGCTGACCGCATATGCGATTTTGCATCAAGCGTTGTGGACGGTATACCGATAACCCTGACAACATTTGTTAAATTAACTTTTTTGAAGCAACGATGTGCTCCTACTAAATTTATTGTATGGTAGGCAAAACGCTACTTTATCGCCGTTTTCCTTGTCAGGCTGAGTAATCAAATCCACGCGTTCCTTGAATATTTCGCCTGTGTAGCCTATCAATATCGCAATTCTGTTCGCAATAGAATGCGAACGCTTCGATAAAACTCGAGCAGCTGCTTTGTAAATTTCACCTATCACGACTTTCATTTGTTTTCCGAGCGGAATTTCCCTGCTACTAAATTTTCTGGCCTAGTAAAGTGATCGGGGTGATTGTACTTTTTGCGAAGTTGTTGATTTTGGTTAACAAGTAGATGCGCAGACCATGGACTTGAGTCCAAAAAGTGAGCAGAATGTCTATTTTTACGCAAAAACACTCCAAAACGGAATTACTTAAATCTGGCACAGTTTCACCTAATTATTTGTGAAGATTTCTGCTCAAAAATTTGTGTGGCTGTGTAAGAGATCTTGTACGATATGCGTAGCTATGATTCATCTGTTCAGGGCGTGGCCAGACAGTTCGCCGCATCGAGGAGTCTTCCTCTCTGGCAGGCCGCCGGACGGTCGTGTCCGACTTCATCACCTTCTTCCGTTGCTGCGGACCCTCCTCGTATCCACCGCCAACCCTCGTTGTAGATCGCCATTGAACACATTCTCGTTGTATTGTTTGTTACTCTTCTATGCGCCTTACCGATAAACCTAGTATTCGATCCTGTATTCGCTACTAGT